AATGAATGAGAAAATGGGTAATCCCAGAGTCGCAGCATGAAAAGAGGGAAAATCAATATGGCCTCTCAGTTCACTGGGGCCCTCACAAGTCCTTGAGATGAACAAAAAGTTGTGCATTTTGTTGCCACATCCATACGTCTCAATAGAGAGGTGTGTGATTTGTGTGTGTAAGGTGAGTGTGAATTGTACAGTCTGTTATAGGAGATGCATCTGTGTGTGTGCAAGGCAGCATGAGCACTGAAGAGGCAGCGTGTAAGGCATATCAGGGAAACTTTGGTTCATAATTTGGAGTTTGAGTGAATTATGTGACTGAATGGGACCCGTGTTAACTGTACCGAGCTTCTTCCAACTTCTAAACCGGTCAAAAGCGTCTGAGAAAACATCCGCCTTTTAATGAAAAACAGATAAGGGAAAACCGGGATTCTTTCATGCAGGCATTCTGTGTGCGTCACTTCTTTCTGAGAGGCGGCGGGATATGAGAGGACATCATACAGGTTCTGTAACCTTTGGACTGCCGATTCAATTGACCCCATGCACCAGCCTGAGAAAGGCCCCCCTCATAAGAATCCAATCCCACTTCCTGGCCTACGTGGAGAAAACTGGTCGCCGAGCTCTGGGATTGGATGCCCGCTCATGAATAATTAATTGCCACCAACCATTTGAGGCGGGGGTTTTGTAGAGCGGTGGGGGGGGGGGGGGGGGGGGGGGGGTTAGATAACAGGCTGCTGGGGGTATTGGTATTGCCCTTTCTTCTAGACAACGCAAACACATATTCCTTTCTCCCTCTCATCCACCTGCACTTCTAAGAGCGAACAAGCAAGTGCACACCTTTTCCATCCATCTATCTGTCCGTCCATCCATCCCCCACTCCACCACCCTTCCCTCTCTGTGCTGTCATGCTAAGCGATGCCCCCACCTCCCTCCCCCCACCCCAGTTGATTAGCGGGCTCTTCAGTAGCCTGTCATGGCGGATGTGCTCCATCAAAGCTGATCGACTCCCCGTTTTTCCAGAAAGATGTCGCGGGTTATCAGCGCGCGCTCAGATCTCCGGCTTCGGGAGGAGCGTGACTGGCAGGCCGTCTTTTGAAGACAGTGATTCCTCCACTGATGCCTCCCAGTTGGAAATTTAGGAACGTGTCTGCTAAGACGCCATATGCAAAGTAAATTACTGTACAGGGGCGAGGCCGACTAAACCCTCCTCTCTCTGAACGTCCAGGCCACTGAGTGCCTCCCAGGCAAGCTCACCTTCTCTGCGCTCATCCCCACTTTTCTTCTCATTTGGCTCTTCTAATTCGTCCACTTTTAAAATGGACAGCAACACCGGAAGAACTATACTGAACAAAACCAGCCGTAGATTTGATGGCTACACCTGCTTGAGTACAGGGGAAATCAATTAAACAAACATAGGCAGAAAATCATAAATGTAACATTTTAAACATATTTTATGATTATCTTCAACATTTAGTGTGCATTCATTTAGTTCAAATTTGATTCAAAGGTCAAAGGGCATACAAGTAGTGAGAAATAAATAAATAAATAAAAGCACAAGCTTCTGCCACTTTACAACAGCTCCATTTTCTCCAACTCCCCATTATCATGCAAATGACATTGCTGGTTACAACTGTATGTCTTTGTAGTGGTAAAGTGTTAATTTCAGTTCAAAGGCTGTGGCAGTATTCTACAGGGAGAGAGAGAGATGGAGGGGAAGATGGGGATGGAGGGGAGAGGAGGAGGGGAGGTGTGCCGAGTGGTTTAGCCTGGCTCAGCCTAGCTCTGACCGGCTCTTTGTGTTTCTATTGTCTCCATGGCAAAGCTGAATTAAGAGAGTCAGGGCTAGGTGTGCCTTTAAAAACAAAAAGAAGGCAGGCAGCACTGCTATAGGCTTACAAATGTCAGCTTTACCTCCTCCAGGAGTAAGTCTGGTTCCTCTCCAAGTGTTTTCTTGTCTGTTAAATGACGACACTACAGGAGGGAAATGTAAGTTATGACACAGCGTCTTGGTAACTGAAATTCAGAACGGCTTTAATGACAAATGTAAGACAACACCGACACTAACAGAGATCACAAAAGTCATCTTCATAGTTAGGGGAGCAGCTCAGAGTCCGAAGGAAACGAGACAAATTGAAGATCCGGGTTGAATGGAAATATGAATCATCCGGACATTACGGATGAAAACGAGCAGAATTTCGTGCATTCACAGTTTTTCAACAAAGCTTTCTACACCAAGCCCTCCAGCTCCATCTCAACCACAGGGGGACACATCCTGCTTGCACACAAACATCCATGTATGTATGGCTGCAGCCCCAGTGATTTCCTCAAATAATGGGGGGCATTGTCATTTCTTTACGAGCACAAACACCATTAAAATGGTCGACAGCGCTGATGGGGGCGAAAGAAAAGACAGATAAAGGGCCGGGGAGAGAAAGAAAGCCATTCTGCTAGGACTGGTGCCGTGTACAAACGGAGAACATGGCTCCTCTTCTATCAGCCGTACACTAGAGCGTGTGTGTGTCTTTTTATCGGGGGGGGGGGCGTCCACCATACGTGCAGCAGTGCATGTGCGCTTTTCTGTGTTTGCTGAATCAAACAGTAGAAGCCTCATTGTAGTTCTCAAACAGTGCCATTGTGGGTTTTTTCTTATAGCTAGTATTGCAGGGCCTCCTTAAATACGTGTGTGTTTGTGTGTATGGTGGGGGGTGGCAGCATCATGGACACTCCTGGAGATGAAGCCCACCCTCCTGTTGTGATCCCACCACCGGAGCTGTTTATCTCGTTTAAGGCCCGCCCTTCGCCAGGGGACAGACAGCTCAAACGACGCTTGTCACAATCCCTTGTCGTCTTAAATGGCTGACAACATCAGGCTTTTTGTAATGGCGGCGAATCACAGAGGTTCCTTACCTTCTTTTACAAAAAAAGAACTTGTATGTAAACCTAGAAAAGGACCAGGGAGGACGAGGCTGACTTCTGAGGTATGCACCAGGGATGTTATCGAGACACAATGACGCAAGATGGAGGTGTAGAAGATCCTCTGGAAAATGATTTCCACTGATGAAATAAAAAGACTATAGCTTTATGATCACTCGTAATCATTACTGAATCAAGCGAGGCACAGCGACGCCGGCATCTGAATGTGATTGGTTGGTTGTGTTTCAACTCTCACAGGACATCCATGCTGAGGACGTGGTTGGTGTAGGTAAAATGTACAGGGACACCCAAAGACTCCATCCTCTATGGCAAACAGGGAGAGGTTCAAAATCACTTCTCAGACATCAAATAATTAATTGCTCTCTCCTCTTGCTCGCTCCCCCCCCCCCCCCGTTTCCCTCCTGGAGTCTGTATGGAAGACACAGCTCCAGTCACTTAAGGAGGGTTAACACCCGTCTAAATTAAATATTAAAAGGTGTCTGTACCTGCTGCTATTGTTGCCCCTTGGAATAAGATATAACCTATTTTTGACAAGTTTTCATCCTCAGCCTTCTGCGGTGAGACGCTTGTCGAAAACCAAATCAGCGCGTGGGGGGGGGAGTGGTAGTGGGGCGTGGGGGGCATTGATGAATAATCTAGTTCATATTCTACCGACACCCGCCGCTCAGAGGGAGAGAAAGAAAGGGATGAAGAGAGGGAGAGAGATGGCAGGTGGAGAAAGCGAGATGGACAGAGGAGCGAAAGATAAAAGCTGGGGGAAAAGCAAGGGATGAGTAAAGGGGAAAAAAGGAGAAAAAGAGGGGAAGAAAGGGAGGAGTGGCAGATGATAGCCGGCGTCTGCCAAGGTATCACATGACAGTGCTCCTGTTTAAATAATAAAACAGGACGGGGGCTCTAAACAAATCGTTATCTTCCCACCTCCATGCATCCTGCCTTGCCTCTGCCCCTCCCTCCATTTTCCCGCTTTTAAAAACTTGTTTTAATGCCATTTCTTAATGAACATAATAGCTCGGTGCTAATAATGAAAAGAAAAGAAAAACATCTAAAAACGCAGAGGGGCCCCCGAGTTGTCGCCGGCGCTCAATTATTTCCTTGTCAAGTGGGTCTGTTTTTAATGAGGCCCTGTGGGACTGACGTCTGTCAGTCAGCCCTGACTTTTTGACACCATTACAACTTCAAATAGAAGCCGCCGCCACGCTGCCTTCCACCGCTCGCTCGCTCCTGCTCCGCTCATCTGACAGGCTGGGAGGGAGGGAAGGAGGGAGGGAGGGGAGGACAGGGAGGAGGAGAGAAAAGGTGGCAGGAGAGGTAGAGAGAAGGGGGGAGCAAAAGGGATGCAGAGGGAGAGAAAGACAAGAGGGATAGAGAGAGAAAGGAGAAGAGAGCACATCGGGTAGACTGCACGTGGAGACACACGCACACTGGGTGAAAAAACAATCACCGAGGGTCATTATCAGTGGAGGTTTGTCAAACTGCCAGGGATTACCCCCCCCCTCCAGCCCCCTACGTACACGCTTCCTTGTTCACTTCCTTCCTTTTTCCTTCCTTCCTTTTTTCATTATGCCTCCACTTTAATGTAAGTCTTGGTGGGTCGGCCCCGCATTGGGACGGTCAGAGGCACACTATTTTGTCGGCCATTAATTTGAGGCTTTGAAGCAGACGGCGGCGCTGCAGCTAGTGAGGGCCTGTGAAACGCTCGTTCGTGGGGGGGGGGGGGGGGGGGGGGGGGGGGGGGGGTCACCACCCTGACACCCCCGCGTCTTCGAAAATGAGGACCAAGGCCCTGAAACAGAATAGCAAATGTCCTCGCCGGGAAGCACCACACCGACCACAGGAGACGCATGCACACTCCAATACTCTACTCCTGTGTGTGTCAATATGGATATGTGAGAGTGTGTGTGTGTGTGTGTGTGTGTGTGTGTGTGTGTGTGTGTGTGTGTGTGTGTCTGTGTTTGTGTCAGATTCATCTACCTCAACTTCTGAAAAGATGCTCTTAAATTTAGATTTTCCAAGACCCCCTGAAGAATGGCTTTCCCCTGAAGAATTAAGCAGCAGTAAACTCACACACACACACATTTCTTTTTCAAACACCTGCAAATGTATCACATCATAAGTCAGCGTACAGATAAACACAGACACAAGGACTGCATCACAATCTTCAGAACTTGACAAGAAAAATATGGAACAAAAAGTGCCCGTTCTAAGACAAGTTAGATCCATTTATAAGAACAGAGGAAGAAGAAAATAAATGCCTCAAAGATACAAAACTTGAAATCCACACATTTCAGTTGGTCCTGGTGTGCAGTCTACCTACGTCTTATCACTGAACACCCAACAATCAAGATGTGGTTAATGTTAATGCTGAATACCTTTTAACATCATCAAATATACAGTTCTAACACAGAAACGTTAATCGCATTATAAATAAATAATAACAGAATCACTTGTATTTAGAGCAAAACACTATACATGATGTGGAATTAAATGTTAGTAGATACAGTATTATGCCTATCATTTAGCAAAATTAAGATATATTAAAAAGTCTGCGGGAGTAAATTGTGGAAGTTTGGGAGGTGCCAAATGTGGATATTAAAGCTTGTATGTGTGCATTGTATTTATGGTCAATTCGGCTTTGTATTAAAAACATTAAAATATTCGATTTTATTTCATTTCCTCAATCTTTAAACGTGTGTTCATATATCCTTTCCTGAAGGCAGCTAATTGAAAACAAACATTTACTTTTGACTGACTGAACTGAAAGTGACCTCCACCTTTTTTTTTTTACGTGCATCCTCTCTTTTGAAGGCTGCACCGCTCGTCTATTTTGGGCTCTGCTGAGCTTTTTAAAGATGGAGTGTGAACAGCACATCTTATCTGAAGGCACTGTCCTCTGTTTTGTAGGGGCTACATGAAGAACAGCTGAATCATTTAGCTACAGACGCTCATACCTACAGAATGAGTGTTGGAGTTAATAACAAACAGCGTGGGCCAATGTCTGTCACTCATGCACATGCAAACATTCATAAGTGTGCACTCTTATATCTGTCGTTCTCGCTGTCTCTCACGCATGCACACACATCCTGAATAACACCTGACCCACCTCCATCACAAGGAAAACAATTATCTACATATCTGAATCTGCTTTTGAGTTACGTACGAAAACCACAGAATTCACCTGGGGACAAGATGGGGTGCAGAACATTGATGAGGACGACGCCATGAAAGATATTAACTTTCATAAAAAAAAAAAACTATTCTTATCCCTGGAGATGAATGCGAGCCTGACAGAGAGAGAGCAAAAGTGAAAGGAGAAAAGCAAGAACAAGAAAGGGAAGCGCAAAGTGGAAAAAAGGTTGAGAGGGACGGAAAGAAACAGCAAACAGGAAGGAAAAAGGAAAGAGATGAAAAAAAAAAAAAAAGCTCGCTGTCAGACTTTGGAAACAGTGATTCATGGGGACCATTTGTCCTAATTACAGCAGAACAACGCTTTTGTCGCTATTAATCACACGGGTGTGTGTTTGTATTTGTGTCAGGGGAGGAGTGAGTGTGCGTGTGCGCGTATGTGTGTGTAGAGGGGAGATCAGTGGCCTCGCAGATTGAAATAGAGGGCCAGGATGATGGTGAGAAGGATGATGGCTCCGAGCATGAAGACCAGGACACGGTTCTGGATGATCCTGCAGAGAGAGAGAGAGAGAGAGAGAAACAGAGTTAGAGATCAGGCAGGGTTCACTAAAGTCATGTTGTGTCTACTGAGATCAACGTAAAACAGTCACATGTTTATGTGCTAACTAAATGACTAGCCATCAACTGGAGGCTTATAATGTTTAATAGCTACCATGAGGTCTGCGTACATGGTATTTACTGGTATACAATCACCGGCATGGGGGTGTAAAACACACACACGCAATATTTCTTAACCTGCAACACTTTTGTGCAAAGCTTGTGTCTTGACAGATGATTTCTGACTGGCAAACACACTTGGAGCCGCTATTAAAATGTCATACAGAAGTGTACACACACACACACTCAAACACACAAAACACTTAACAAGCCCAACACACTAACACACGTACGCACACACAGGCTCTAAAACTTTATTTGCACAATAAAGTGGAAAAAGTGGCTCAGAAGGTCTCCTGGAGGTAATAAAATCACTGAATTACTGATGGAATTTGCCATAAAACGACTCACTATTTTGCGCATTTAAATGTTCCCACTGTGACCTAAGTAAACTTGACAAGAGGGGGCTTTGAATACAGAAAAAACACACAAAGCTGGGAGAGAGGGACAGGGTGCAGAGGCCTGAGCATGGAGAGTGCGAGCTTATCTCATGTGCTCGTTCCCAAAATTCTCCAGAGTTTGCATCACCACACATGCCACGACAAACACACACACACACACACACACACTGCAAACCCTCCGCTGCTCCTGACAAATGAGAGAATTATCACATTTGCTGACATGTGGAGGGGTGGAGGAGAGGCCGAGGAGGGGGGCACTGTCCACTTCTCTAAGCAGGAGATGAATAGCCCATGCTGTGGCCATTTATCACCGGGGAGGGGGGGGCCGGCTGGTTGCTCAGTCACCCTGCTACCCTCTAAAGCCCGACACACCAGTGGAGCTCAAACCTCCTCCAGGCCACCGGCTCCGACCCGCAGTAGCCTCCACACTCAGTTTAAAACCCATCGCTATGGAAGAAAGGACGACAAAAATGTATCACAGTTGTGTTTTTAAGCGTACGCCTTTGTATTCCCCTTGTGTATGTTTTTTTTTAAAACAGAGAAGTGTCTGCTTTGCTCAATTCCTTTGCACAAAGGGCTCTGGAGCCAAATACAAAAATCCTGAAAACCAATCGTTTGTAAAAAAAAAAAACGTCTTTCATGAACGAGACACTTTTTCAGTAAATCCCTCACTGGATAACACCAGAGAGCTCATTACAACCACTGTTTGTAACTAGCACTGCTTTATAAGTAGGTAGTTTATCCTTGAATAAATGCATACATTATCATTCAGTGTCATACTGTACACTAATCCATGTCACACAAGTAGCAGTTATGGTATATGTTCTTATCCTCACTAACACCATGCTGAGTTTTCACCCTAAACAAAAACAAGAAAGAAATACTCAAAATAAATCCAACTGCATGTACATGTTTATGTTGTGGTAAGAGTTGAAGCAGTATTAAGGGATGCTATGATGAGGCGGAGATGATTGGCTGGAGCCAGCTGGGGAGGAGACCCCTCTGAAACACTAATCAGAGCATGCTTAGCAAGGCCACGTCTCCCCCTATTAATTGACATTCATTATTTACAATGATTATTTATCCCAGCCAAATACCCAGAGGAGGTTCTCGTGTGTGTGTGAGCGCGTTGGGAGAATCCAGATCGCTTTGTGTTGTTTGTTAATTTTTCAGCTGGGGAAAAGAGAGGGAGGGTGACTCGAGGCCTGGGGGGGGGGGGGCCGCGGGGGTAAAATGAACAGGAAGTTAGTTTTAGACTCAAGGAAGAAGAGCCCGGGTGCTGAAAGATAGAGAGGGGAAGGGGGGTTCAATGCTGTAAAAATTGCATTCATTAAAAGGAGACTGATCTGGTGGCAAACAACGCTGAATAACTTCAAACACTAAAGCGTTCAAAGCCGTACGGAATGTGACAGTGCTGCGATTTAAGAACTTTTCTCAGGGGACAGATATTGGAAAAAATTGTTACTTTGACCTAAACTGATTCTCTGTACACCAATCTAACAAAAAAGTACAATTTAAAAAGGAGCTACTCTTATTAACAGGAGACTCAAAGCCACAACTACAACTCTTAAGCATGTCTTTCACACTCAAGCTGTGTGTTTTAATCCACTGTAAGCAACACAGCTTGAAGAATAAACTCTTTTTTTGTAATGATTGCAATCATTCAAGTGCACGACAAGATCTTGTGAAGGTTATACACCCAGGATCACCTTTAACCAGAGGATCCACGGATACACACACACACACACACACACACACACACACACACACACACACACACACACACACACACACACACACACACACACACACACACACACACACACACACACACACACACACACACACACACACACACACACACACACACACACACACACACACACACACACACACACACCACAGCACACACACACACACACACACACACACACACACACACACACACACACACATGGAGGAGTCACATAAAGCAGAGGGAGGTACAGTCCCTAATTTAGTTACACAACAATAGGAAGTATAGAATATTGATGTCATCACTTTGCTTTAAATACCATACAGGTGAGAGGGCTGGACAGTCACGACTTATGTTACATTATAGCCTGGATAGGAAAATATTCCATTTGAAAAACCATCACACAAAGCATCGTTCTGGTTGTAAAATAAAAAAAGATTACAAGTAACAAAGTTATTTTGCTCGTTGTGCATTTCATCTTTTTTTCCATTTGGTCACACATAACAACTGGTGTCTATACAAAGAAATGAAAAACCCAGCGGGCAGATCATCTTCATAATCCTCAGGGCGATTCATCTGCATGCTGTTACTTGTAGATGTAATCTATGGATTTATGTTCTTTATCCGGCAAGGCACTTTACTGTGAGCTCACCAGTCAAATGAGCTTCTACAGTGAAGGAAAGGTTGGTTCCTCAGGCAACAGAAGCACCTAGAATAAAACTTAGCCCACAAAAAAAAAACTGCACCCCTGCCAAACCCCCTGAAAATGAAATAAAAAAATCCCAAAAATTGGGAGGTAGGAGAGTGAAGAACATGGTTTTTCTCTGCCGTATGGTTGATCCCATCCTGACACGTGGCCAGACAGAACAGAACTTATCAAACCGGATCCATCCTCCAGCTTTGACACTTGACATAGAGGTGGGGGGGCGAGGGGTGTGTGTGTGTGTTGGGAGGGGAAGGTTTGGGGATGTGTGAGTGATGCACACAGCGCATGTACAAGGCTGACACACACATAGACACACTGACGCACACACCAAGTTTGAGAAGGCTTACCTTTACCCCGCTCCCTACTATGGTGCTAAGATCCCCAAGTATTCTCTCTGTCCCTGCCCCCCCCCCCACCTAAAACACACCACTCATATAGAGACAGACCAACAGTAGATGTGACTTAGAGATCAGCCAATAACAGCACATGGTACTGGTCGTTCTATTGGCTCATGACGTTCCTTCATCGCAGGCTGCCAGTCAGCCTACACCATACTAAGACGTAAATACACAGATATATATAACTGAGAGAGAGAGAGAGAGAGAGAGAGAGAGAGAGAGAGAGAGAGAGAGAGAGAGAGAGAGAGAGAGAGAGAGAGAGAGAGAGAGAGAGACGAAATGATATGAGTGCAAAGGAGAGCAAAAAAGTAAAGCAAGCAGGAAGGATGGAAATGGACAATAAAGCAGCTGAGAGTGAAAAACAAGAGAAAAAAGGAGTGGAGAGACAGAAATAGAGAGGTGGAGTGAGAAAAGACATTAAAGGGGGGGAGAAAGAGGAGAGAGAGAGAGAGAGAGAGAGAGGAGAGAGAGGAGAGGGATGGAAGACGAGGGAGAGAGAGAGAGAGAGATGAGACGATGAGGACCCGAGAGAGAGAGAGAGAGAGGAGAGAGGAGAGAGGAGGAAGAGAGGAGGTCCGTTTACCCGGGGAGGCAGAGCTGGAGGAGAGGCTCCTCGGAGACAGATGAAAATAATGAGGACTTTTCTGTCAGGAAAGATTTACAAAATCGTACCAGTGTTATTAAAATTTAAAATCTCCCGGTTTTTTCCCCTTTTTCTCCCTTCCCACCCTCTTCCTCCCTCCCTCTCTTGCTTTCCCTGTTTTTTTTCTCCCCTCCTCTTCCAGCAGCACAGCCTTATTACCAGCTCTAATGAGCACAGGGATACACCTCAGCTCTGTGTGTGTGTGTGTGTGTGTGTGTGTGTGTGTGTGTGTGTGTGTGTGTGTGTGTGTGTGTGTGTGTGTGTGTGTGTGTGTGTGTGTGTGTGTGTGTGTGTGTGTGTGTTGGGGTCCAGGTCCCTAGCACTAGCTCCATCAGCGCCCCAGATTCTCCAGTCCCTTAAATGACACACACATGGTGTGCGTCCAATCACAACACATGATCGTGGGCACATAGATAGATGCTGCCAAACATGTACACACAGACACAAACACACACGTGTGCGCACAGACAGATTTTGATGGCTCTTAAAGGTGGCTGGACATGAGGCACACACACATAAACACTTCTCTCAGAGTAAGACAGACAGATAACAGCCCCCACCCAAAAAACAAAAACAGTCTCAGTCAGACAGACAGACAGCAGATAGCCAGAACCCACCTTAAAACACACACATACACACACACACATACACACACCCACACCCACACACACCATCTCCACTAAGAAGAAACTTAGCTTCGAGTTGCATCTCTCCGGCCCTCCCCTATCCCTCCTCTTTCCTCGAGTAGACCAATAAAATAAAAATCAATGGCTGTCTGAGCCATTCTGACTCTCCTCCCTCCAAAACCCTGGGAATATGCAGCATGGGAGAGGAGAGGGGGAGAAAGGGAGAGGAGGGAGGGAAGGATCAATGTGCTCACAAATGGTTTGAGTGATGGACATGGAGGTGGAACGCTGGTGGGGGTAAGTCCTAACTAATGCATCGACCTGT